ACGAGACACCGACGGAAGATAGTGATATTTGAGAGCTGAGAAGTAACTAGTGAGCTTTTGAACACAAGATGGTGAATACATGGCTGTTGAACGGTGTGTCGAACGTTCAACCTCAGTGGTAGTACAGCCATCGCCGAAAAGAGGAGAGGTTGTGTCGCGTAGATAAGATGGCCGCTCGATCGATTGGTGCTCACCTTTCTCCGAAGTTTGAGGCAGTGCTTTCTTGATCATCCTGCTGTCTCGGACTACGAGGATAGAGTCTCAGAGAAACTCGAACATTTGGAGGGAGAGCACAAATCGACGAATTCGAACTTGGAGCATGTCGAGAGCACGACGAAGTACACACAAGTACGTCTCATAGACATGATGTTGAGCTCAGAAATTGACCCTCGTTCGCCAGCTTTCGCCGGAAACAGCTGTCAAAGTTTGGATGTTCCGGGCTCGCCGACCAACTGTGTGGCGTCGGTGATGATGAATCTTCGACAAGAAATCAGTGACTTTAGGGCTTGCATGATTGCATAAGTAAGAGCGTATTCAATACTCTGCTTGCTCCTGCTGATGACCGACCGTTTCATTCTACTGTACCAAACAGATCAGTGCTTCATCGTGTGGCAATGTCACTTCAATATCACAAACCACTAAGCCCGCAGACGAGAACCCCGGCGGTGTTGAGCTGTTGAGCAGGTCTCGATCAAAGCAAGCTTGACTTCGTGTAGCAGCATGCATTCAAGTCGGAGTGGATGAGACCGTATGCCTCTCAAGGTACGTGCTGAGCATTCGGCAGTCAAACATCACAAGCATCACAAGCCGCCTTTGTTACCAGATGATGAGGTCGTAGTGAGATCAGTATGCATGCTGATGGAATGGTCTTGGCACCACCGAAGCTTAGACTCGTATAAAGCCTGTGGTGCCAAACGGCGAGGGCTCCCAGCCCGGTGCTCACAGACGATTCCTTCATTATCAATCTTGACGAGTGCGTAGACCTCGGTCACAACCTGCAGTAATTTGACTGATATACGGCGCATGCAAATTCTAGCCCTATACACTTCACTTTGGACGACTCTTTGCAACCTTCAAATCACCATGCGTTTCACACATATCCTTACCGGTGCTCTGGCATTCGCTGTAGCCTCAGTTTCCGCCGTACCTCTTCCTGCTGGTCACAAGGCAGATGGCTTGCTTGCTCGTGATACGGAGCTCCATGAGCTGCTGCTTCGTGACCTGGATCCAATGTATGTCTTCTTCGCTCCTCAAGGCCCAGTTCCGCCCACAAACTGACATCACTGAGTACAGGACCAAACATTTCTGCAAGACCTCAGAGAAAAGTCTCGGGTGCCTCATGGGAGGAGGCGGATTCATGAGTCGTTTGCCGCATTAATCTCGCGGAGAGAGATGTTCCGCAGTCTCGCTGTCATACCAGTATATCTAATCGCGCACTCCAAGGCTACCCACGTGCAGTCTCGTTGGAGATCTCGTTCTACGAGCAGGGATAGCCGAGTCGGTGCACTGCGCGACATCACAATTGGGTACAATATGTCAGACTACAGCACCTCAGGCCTCATGCGTCAGGTCACTCCGTCGAGAATGATAGTAAATCGATTCACAATCCGTACACCGAGACTGTTCGTGTCGGCGAGACGTCCAGCACACCACCAAAGTATCACACTACAACTTACTACAACAGACTCGCGGCGAAAGCAGCCCGTCAACAACGTTCCCAATCGAGTACGTAGCTTATGCACAGGTTTCGGATTGTTCCTTCGTATGTATCCATGGTTATAAGGAGGATGTTGACCGAGGGTTGACCGATCAGAACATACACGAGGGACTAGTGGTATCATGACGAGAACAATTGAATGCGAGCAGGGAGCACAAGGAGGAGGAAGGAGGAACATGTCCGTGTACAGCCATTGCCAAAGGTTGAAAGACGTATCGTGAAGATACTTAGACTAGAGGGACCGAGGACCGCGCGATCGATTGACTTGAAGCATTCATTGGACGTTTGAGGCAGTGCCTCCGCGACGGTCCCGTTTAGTGCTCGTCGAGATCCGGGAGGTGCGCACACAGGTACGCTTCAGGAGGGCCTAGCGAAGCACCACCGTGGTCCTAGATAGTGGATATGGAAACCTGGATCTAGGATCTCGTTTAGCCGCCACCTGCAGATCCCCCTGGGGCCTGAGACTGAAGAAGACAAGTACTCACATTCTCGACTGTGGAGTTACCATTTGCCAAGCCAAATATTGATGCAACTTGTTACCTGACAAGATGTCATACTCACACTGTGTGGATAAGATTTGCTCCAGACGAAGAACTTGCAGCTTGAGCTTGATGCAGATGTCTGCAGCCCGAGAAGAACGACCACCAGACCACAAAACGCCTCCCCGGTGTTTGACGGTCGACACAGACACGACAAAAGCCTTGAAAAGACAAAAACTCGAATATTCTATATTCATGAAAATCACAGGCCCGATTCCACCGAGCCCGAGAAGTCGCATAGCGAGTCAACCACTATGTACAAATCCAGTGCATTAGAGAACGTTTCACGTTACCGAATAGATAGCTAGGAGAGGAGGAGGGTGGAAGGGGAAGCGACAGTTGTAGATATACAGAGAGCGTGGTGCGTATGATGGGCGCACAGCGGGATGTCGGACGTTGACGTGTGTGATTGGGATAGCAGGACGTGTGTGTTGGCCGCGAATTCTATGCGGCGGGTGGAGATCCGGGTATGACGAGAGGAGAGCGATAACGTGAAAACGACGATGACTATTAGGACGATTAGAGGGGAGATAGCGAGGCCGAAAAACCAGAGGTGGTATAAAGTTACGAGGAAGCGAACGATGACGGACGGGAAGCATTGCGAGGGTCAACCTGGGTGCGCTTTCCGGTCTGGGTTATCCAGAGGAGGAAGCGTCTAGCAGTCCTCGCCATCGTCCTCGGTTTCGAAGCCAGCGGCCTGGCGAATGGAGTCGAGAAGGATGTCGTTGGAGTCGCCGCCGGCTTCCCACATGGCGAAACCACGGAGGTTGCTGGTCTTCACGAAGTCGCCCTTCGCTGCGAATGAGGTGGCGTCGTCGAATGCAACCATGACTTGGGAGTCTTCGTTGTAGACATACGGCTACAAAGGTGAGGATGAGTTAGAAACAAACACAAAGAACATAGCGACAATAAGTTGCTTACCGTTTGGCTGCATTCATCGTAACGGTAGAAGACGCCATCGGCGACGGTACCGTTGGCATTCAGGAAGCCACCGTCAATCAGTCCCCAGAAGTCGAAGTTACCACCGGCCGCAACCTGGTTCCCGCAAATGTCAGTTCCGGCACCATCGTCCCAAGCATCGCCAGAGGGCTGCTGAGCTTTGTCGAAGGGAGGGAAAGACGCAAGGACACCATTGTCATCGCCGTTGTCATCGCAGTGGAAAGCGTCTTCAACGTCGACGTGGAAGGAGTGGCCGTAGGATGGGACGCCGAGAACGATCTGGTGCGAGGGCATGCCGGCCACCGTCCAGGCCGCGACGGCGCTGACGGCACTTCCGGCTTGGTTGGCAGCGGGCGCACAGGTGTCGTTGAGTGGAGCGTTGGCACCAACAGCGGTGGACCAAGCTACAATAAAGCACATCACGTCCGAGTTAGTATCCTGATGTAGCAGGTAGATTGCGTATCATAACTCAAACTTACCACCGTTGATATCGTAGTTCATGATGGCAATGTAGTCCAACACCTTGGCGAAGCCAGAGACGTCACTGAGGGACGTGCCATCGGGACCTTTCCAAGGAGTGATAGAAGTAGCAGCAGTGAGGAAGAGGTTCTTGCCAACGGGGTCCTGACGAAGTTCTTGCAAGAAGGAGAGGAAGTTGGTCGTGTCATCGGGAGAGATGGCGTTACAGCCAATACCCTGAGTACCAGGATATTCCCAGCTAAGAGAGTAAGGTCAGAAGGGTTTCACTGTGATCATGAGTATGCGTCTCGGACGTACTCAAAGTCAATGCCATCAAGCTTGTACTGAGTTGCGAAATCAGTGATGGTCTTGACGAACGCCGTACGGTTATCAGCTGAGCCGACATTCGACGAATAGTAGAGGGAGCCGGTCCAGCCACCAACGGACACCAAAGCTTTGACCCCCTGGAAGAGAGATGAGTACATACGACCTCCGGAGAAGAGCATTCCACGCACGTTCTTTTGAGCCTGCTCTACAAACTGTGGCAGCAAATCGGGGTCAGAGCCATCCAGGGAAACCTGCTTGACATCGGGAGTTGTGATGCTTTACAATGCAATCAAAATCAACGGAACAGTCGGATGAGATGAAATGCAGAAGGTGAACTTACGCGAAAGAGTAGGTCATGTGGGTGTACTTATCCCAGCTGACGTTGGCCAAAGTGAAGTTGTCTGAGTGCCATCCGGTGTACCAGGCGGCGGAGACCATGTCCACAGAGCTGCCGGAAGCACCGGCGGTAGCGTTGACGTCTGCTGAGCCGGAGACGGTGGCAGCGCGAGCTCCAGCGAGAGAGAGCGCAAGGAGGGTGTAAGAAAGGAGAGACATCGTGAACGAGGAGAAGTCGTGAGCAAGGCGATGAGCAGGGGGCTCTTTATGAAGGAAGGACAGGAGGAGAAAACGAGGCCGACCGCACCGAAAGCAACAGCAACGAAAGAGCGTTCACAAAAGGGAGGGGAGGGACACGGTTGCAGCGCGAAGAACGTGAGTGCGACGCGTTATATAGCGACGGCTGAGCGCGCAGAACGTTGAGGCGAACGTTGGGAGAAGCACGGCTTTCGTGATGGACGCCTCAGTGCTATTCCGGGACACATCGAGGCACCACATTTCCGCATTCGCGTACTGAGACTTCCGCAGAGCAGGCGTACGCGCGGAAATTTTGACGATGTGAGGAACGAGGAACACAAGAACTTTTGAGGGGACGATGTTTTGTCTGCAGCCAAGACCGGAGGCAAAACAAGAACACTCGATCATCCACCGGCGTCTGTGGATCGCCGCTCGTCAAAAAGATGCGACACCAGCAGGATTCGAACCTACGCGGGGAAACCCCAACAGATGCTTCGAAGTATTCGAATCTGTCGCCGTAACCACTTGGCTATGGTGTCTTGTATTCCTGGGTCTATTCCTATAATATGATAATTACCCATCAGTTCTTCCTACCGTATCAAGCTGCTAAGCACTTCGTGGAATTACTCCACCGTGACCTGTACTCAACACCCTCACTCGTACTATTGTTCGTTCTCGACGGTGGCTCAGCTCCTTGTTATACCCGTTGTTGTCGTGGTCTCCTCTTCCATCGTGCGCAATGACCGAACAGGACCGACAACTGGCAACCTCACCACCACCCAGCGCGACAACGAACATGATACTCTCAACGACGCCGCCCCAGGACCCTCCTCCCCCTTATCCGTCCCGAGAGCGTCGTAGCGGGAGATCTGGAACCCAACGAAGACGAAGGAGAACTCTAGTGCTAGGGCAGAGCGAGGAGGGAGAGCATTTGCAAGTCCCATATGCAGAAGACGACGAGCATTCTGCCCTTGGGCACGACCACTATTCATCCGGCGGAGGAGACGAGTCCGGAAACGAGTATGATGGGCCACCGCTTTCCGCTGCGCCAACGGGAGGTCCAGAATCCCCAATGCTACTGCATGTGCCAACCTCACCATCGATTCCGCCACATACGCCTCGAATACAACCGTCTTCAAGCGGCGGCGGAGTAGCTATCGGAAGACGACCAAGGACGTTATCAATGACAAGCACCCTTCACTCCGTCGTCTCTGCTGCACCCTCCTTTGCCCAAACCGTGCTCTCTGCGTTCCGACCTGACAGAGACGAGGATTTGGACCCGGAGTGCTCTGAAAGTTCTCGAATATCGCACGAGGACGTAGAAGAGCGGCACGTTTATGACATCGACATTGAAGACGAGCATGCCCCTCTACTACCAGAACATTCAAGACTTGGCCGCAGACGAACCTCTTCGTCGGGGACGTGGTACAAGTACTTCAGGCCAATGCTCAAACGACCGTATTATTCGGCGTTGTTTCACCTGCTTGTACTCAATTTCCCGTATGCCCTAGTCGCTTGGGTGTATCTCTTCGTGTTCACTTTGGTGAGTCGTGCCTTATCTCGACCTACTATGCCTTCTGAAAGTACGATTACAGACTGGCACGACTACACTTATGGCACTTCCACTTGGTGCTGTGTTATGCTTCCTTGACCTCTTAGGTGCTCGCGCCTTCTCCCGTGGAGAGGTACGTTTATATCTGTGCCGAAGTCCCGCTATGTAGTGACATTTTTCCTCAACTTCTTAGTTGGCTCTTCAAACAACGTTCCATGGCCCGCTAGCATACCCAGATCCATACCCACCACATCCCATATTCACGCGAGTTCGTGCAGCAACACCAGCCGAAGCCGAGACCGGCGTGGGCATCGTGTACGAGCGTTCGTTCTATCGCAACGCCTATGCAATGGTGCGTTATCAGGTACCTCCCATCTGACTCATACTGAGCTCACTCGTATTCGCAGTTCACGGATTCTACTTCTTATCAGTCTCTGTTCTACTTCCTCGTGATCAAGCCGGGGATCACCCTCCTACTATCACTGACGTTGCTCCTCATCGTTCCTGTCGGCTTCGTTCTCATCCTTCCCGCACCTGCCGTCCTAAGGCTAGTCAGGCGACTCGGTATATGGCAAGCCAACGTCGCAGTCGAAGGACTTTGGCTCGTTGTTCGATGAGGGACGCATGGAATGGAAGGGATTGATTCAGTTCGGACACTATCATCGCGTCACGGACGGCCATCGTCGCTCATCTCAGCATTACCGCATCCACCGCTCACCGCTACTGTACTGTTTCTGTATCGTTACATACATATGCCTGTTCGTACTACTTCTATACCTGACATGACACGCACTTCTAATCTACCTCAGGATCCGATTCGTACGGTGGTAGACCCCATTCTTCTGGTGCGAAGTCCTCCAACGACTTCATTGTTTGATCGGGCTGCTCCAGAGTTGTCAGACCGTTACTCAACTCGTCCACGGCAAGCAACTGTGCATCTGGCACCCAGACAACTGAGAAAAGGCACAGCCAAGCTCAGCGATGATCATTTACTCCGAGAGAGAATGAAGCACGTACCATTCATCCCAGCTCTCTTCCCCGCCTGCATGCCCGGGATAGCATCTTCGAACACCAATCCCTTCCGTCTCTCCGCCCTCTGCGCATCCGTCACACTCGCCGCCACATCATCTCCCTCTCCAACGTCTCTTCCCAACATCTTCCTCGCCGTCGCCAAAAAGATATCCGGGTTCGGCTTCCCCCGTCCCTTCGCCACCAGCCCATCGTCCGCACACACCACCTTGCCCTCGAACATCCCAAACAAGTCGTCGATCAGATGCGCGCTCTTCTGCACGTAGTTGCGGCGCAGCGAGCCGGTGGCGACGGCGATGGGGATCTTGTGCTTGTGCAGATGGGCGACGAGCTTGAGCGCGCCGGGGAGAGGGCGCACGGTGGGCCAGAGCAGATCTTGGCCTCGCCGGCGTTCGTCGAGGTAGTGGTCGATCGTGAAGTGCTCTGGAAGGTCCGGGAAGAAGGAGAGCAGGTGTAATGCGCCATCGCGTTCGGCTGCACGGAGGCATATGCATCGCGATGTCAATATCCGATGCTGGATGGGAGACGGGGTCGACGTACGCTTGCCCATGAGACCTGCTTTGATGCTCCATGTCATCTCTTTGCCGTACTTGGCCAAGATATTATCTGTGCGAGTTCGTTATGGGAACGTCGCGTTCTTCAAGAGAAGGGACGAGTACTTGTTACTTCGGTATAAATTCTCTCGGAGTCGATGAGCAGCCCTAGATCATAAACGAATGGATTTAGCTTCGCATACAGGGTGACAAATAGAAGCTCACCATCCATGTCGAAGAGGACATACTCGATCTTTCCTCTGCTCATGGTCACTGTAGAGGTTAGATCTTAGAAGTTGAAGTCAAAAAGACTTTCGGCACTCCCGCACAGCAATATATTGAGCGGTTCACGGGCCGGACGACCGGAGCGCCGCCAAGCCTAACTCGGTGACGATCATGATTTTGGACATTGCCAAGCGGCTGCGAATCTTGCATTCATACCGTCACTTGTGGCCAGCCAGAACGGCATGGCACTTTTCACCGATCTTCCAGACGAAATCGTCGAGCACATTTTACTTTTGACAAACCTGCAAAGCGTACTCCGATGTCAGCAGGTACGTCTGGTGGCACTACAGCTCACTTTTCAAACCGGCCTCATACGCATCCTTCTTCCTGGAACAGCTCTCCAAGCACCTCCACGATCTCATTCGAGATTCCCTGCCACTCCGTTACAAGATCGAGCTGGCTGTAGATGGTCTGGAAGACGACTCTTTGGGACTCGGAGGGATGCCCACAGCGGGTCGACTTGAGGCCCTGCTCAAACGCAGACACGCTAGGGCCTCCGGCGCGTTCTCGACCATCAAGACGTTTAGCAAGGAGCTAAATGCTGTATGGGCGTTCTCAGGAGGCCATATAGCTATGGAATCGCACGACTCGCAGGGAAGCAAGTGTACCAATGTGATGCAAATCCCCTCTACTGCGCGAGGTGTTCCCGAGAAGTCCTGGAGTATCCCAATTCCATCCTTCAGACTACTACGTTATCTTGCAATTGATCCCGAACAAGATCTTTTGACGGTGGGAGAGTTTCCAGACGAGTATGCCAATATTTTGAGCAGAGATTTTGTCTGACTGGTGTCCAGGACGCAGCAACTTTCATACCTACGGGTCCACTCTATCCAGCTGTCAACTGGTTATCCCCACCCAGGAAGCCAGCATGCAAGTTTCTCCATCAATAATACTCTTCGGCACGACGGGCCCTATTCGGCGGACGACGCAATGTCTATCTGCGGAGACTATGTAGCGATAAAATGTCTCTCTTTCACAAGACTGCTCTATCGCGAGAGACTCATGATCTACTCATGGCGGACAGGGGAGCTTTGTTGGGTATGGACTCTTTATGATCACCACATTTTCAGGACTGATTGGTTTCTAGGACATTTTTGACGACACTGGTCAAACGTTCCAAACATTTGACTACTGCTTTCTCACCAGTCGCCTCATTGTCATCGTTCATGAAATTCAACACGTTCGCTTTGCTCTATCAGTCGTCGATCTTCCTGCTCTGAGGACGAAAACGACGAGCAGCACGACGGACTTTGACTACATCTGTCGCTTTCTCTTTCCGGATCCAAGCGAGTATGAGGTCCGTGAAGGTTACGCCTGTCATCTCCAGCTCCACTGCGAACCTCCCCGTTGCGATCTCTCGGGCACCGCACGCATACCCTACCGTTCTGGGCTTGAGCGCATACTTGTATTCAGCATACACTTCACCTCCGGTGGTAGCGATCCTCTTGACACTTTCACGTTGATCCCGATGTCAATCATCATGCGATTCATAGACGGAGCTTCTTCGCTCAAAACGACGTTCTCTTGGGAAGATTGGGGACCCAACAACACCCACACTCACGCACCGCGCGCCGCAGTCCCTTTCTTTCCACATCCTAGCGGAACCTCCGTCGTCCTTGACCAGACATACCCGAATTACTCCGCCGCGCTGGGCGTTGGAGACACCCTCATCCGCATGGCGTTGTATGACTTTGGACAAGTCGGTGCCAGGAAAACCTCACTGGACATCTCGCAGGGGATCATCACTCCCAATGTGCGTTATGCACCTGCTATAGAACGTCACGGCTCGGACTACCGCTTCCAAGAGGATGCGGTGATGACGACCTTGCCCGCTCGAATCACTGCCCTTGAATTGGACCTCGGCTACTTCGATTCAGATCTTCATCATATACATCTCGGTGAAGATTGCGTTCTACTGCACTTTGAGGTGAGGATATGATTATTTCGAACCCACTTGGCAGCCCGGCCTCATATATTGACGCATTTACGGCAGCTACGTGAAGCCAGGACACAAGAAATACGCATTTTATGCTTTTGACTCACTTCAAAACTCGTCTCGTTTACTTATGATGTTTGAGCACTTATTGTACGATCCTGTTAAGCAAGTCGATATACAACGTATTCACGTACGACGTGTCGT